GTGGGCGGGCGAGCGCCTCGGAGTGGCTGAGAAGGCTGCGAGGAGCGCGCGGCGCCGGCATCCCGGCCGGGCCTCTGGGGATGCTGAAGCCGTCAGCATCAGCACCACCTTTGCAAGGAGGAGAGGCGCGCCTTGTGCCGGGGGAAGCGACGGGGAAGTAGACCTGACGCTTTCCCCCCACATCGCAGGACGCCCTCCCACCTGGGACCTCCGCGGGGCTCACGATACCCATCATCACCACAATCGCTTAAGGAAAGCGACGGATGCGAACACAGAGAGAGAGAGAGAGAGAGAGAAATCCCGGTGGGTTTTGGCATGGAGACCGGACTAAGATGATTAGTTGCTTGTCCAGTAGGTGGCGGCCACAGAGACTCTTCGGGGTCTGCTGCGTCATTAGGGGACCCAGTTAGCCAAAGGGAAAGGAAGGCAATAACGATAAATAAAAATAAAAGTACTGTAGAGTCCGGGGAAAAAATAAAATAAAAGTAATGCAAGGAGCAGAAGGATAGGCCTTGGCTTTTCTTCTTCTCAACCTCAGAAACCTGAGGTCTAGGACATGATGGGTACTTAGAGGGCATTTCTGAGCATGTAAAGAGTGCCTGAGAATCACAAGGGGAGTGTTTTAGTGGTCGAAGTTATAATTACTAGTGCCGGTTTGTTGATATGGCTTCCAAACTGTTGGGCTCTCCTGCAGGGCAGGAGAGAAGTCTTTGGGGATTGCCTTGCACTACCATTACATTTGACATCTAACTCCATTAGTTGAGTCTTTTCACACTATCAACAGCCCTTCTCCCCCCATTTTTTGATGGAACAGTGCTTCCAACAATAAATCTGTGTTTTGTCCTGCTGCTCTTGCCTAGGAATTGGTGTTTTGATCATTCTTCTTGAGTTGTTTGTTCTACTCTTCTGGAGATCACAAAACATAATAGAAATACCAAATTAGCTTAATCAGAAGAAAGCATGCATTGTATGCCTAGAAAATGTTGGAGATCCAGAGCAGACAAGCCAATATTTGCCTGATTTGCTCCCTGAAGGTAGAAAGAAATACAAAGATTGTATAAAGATTAAGTTCAGTTCAGTTTGCAATATGGCCCAAATTGGTAGGCTTGGACCAAGCCATTTTTTTGAATATAAGCTGCAAAATGAGAGGGCAAAATCAACATGAACTGCCTAGAAAATGTTGGAGAGCCAGAGCAGACAAGCCAATATTTGCCTTATTTGCTCCCTGAAGGTAGAAAGAAATACAAAGATTGTATAAAGATTAAGTTCAGTTCAGTTTGCAATATGGCCCAAATTGGTAGGCTTGGACCAAGCCATTTTTTGAATATAAGCTGCAAAATGAGAGGGCAAAATCAAGCCCTCCAGATGTGATTCGACTACAGATTCCATCCGCCTTAGCCATCATGACCAATGGAGAGGGATACTGAGATTTGCAGTCCACCCATACATAGGGAAATGTACTTCTTCCAACACTGCTGAAGTTACTCTTTCCACACTGGTTATAAAGGTACAATGTAATTTGTCCAACCCAACCTAAACACAGAGCTGGGGTTAAAACTCTATACAGTGGTGCCTCGCTAGACAGCTTGACTACAGATTCCATCAACCTTAGCCATCATGATCAATGGAGAGGGATACTGAGATTTACAGTCCACCCGTACGTAGGGAAATGTACTTTGTCCAACACTGCTGAAGTTACTCTTTCCACACTGGTTACAAAGGTACAATGTAATTTGTCCAACCCAGCCAAAACACAGAGCTGGGGTTAAAACTATACAGTGGTGCCTCGCTAGACAGTTACCCCACATGACAGTTTTTTCGCTAGACATTGGCTTTTTGCGATCGCTATAGCGATTCGCAAAACAGTGATTCCTATGGGGGAATTTCGCTGGACAATGTTTGGTCCCTGCTTCGCAAACCGATTTTCGCTAGACAGCTATTTTGACAGCTCCCTCCACACTCGCAAACAGGTGTTTTTGGGACCTAAGCTTTGCAAGATAGTGCTTTAAACAGTTGATCGGCAGTTCACAAAGCGGCTTTCCTATGGCTGATCTTCGCTAGACAACGATGATTCTTCCCCATTGGAATGCATTAAACAGGTTTCAATGCACTCCAATGGGGAAATGCTTTTCGCTAGACAATGATTTCGCTAAACAGTGATTTCAGTGGAACGGGTTATCATCGTCTAGCAAGGCACCACTGTAACTGCCCAGAGAGAGAAGAGCCAGTGCGATGTGATGCATGAAGTGAGGAGACCTGGGTTGAAATCCCAACTCAGCTATAGAAGGTTACTGGGGTGGGACTGGTAAGCCACTACTTGAACATCTCACGTTCCTCAAAAACCATTATAAGATTACCATAAGTCAGAAGTGATTGATTGATTGATTGATTGATTGATTGATTGACCAGAGAGAGAAGAGCCAGTGTGATGTGATGCATGAAGTGGTGGAACTGAGGAGACCTGGGCTGAAATCCCAACTCAGCTATAGAAGGTTACTGGGGTGGGACTGCGGTCATAATGGTAAGTCACTACTTGAACATCTCATGTTCCTCAAAAACCATTATAGGATTACCATAAGTCAGAAGTGATTGATTGATTGATTGATTGATTGATTGATTGATTGATTGATTGATTGATTGATTGAGTGAGTGAGTGAGTGAGTGAGTGAGTGAGTGAGTGAGTGAGTGAGTGAGTGAGTGAGTGAGTGAGTGAGTGAGTGAGTGAGTGAGTGAGTGAGTGAGTGAGTGAGTGAGTGAGTGAGTGAGTGAGTGAGTGAGTGAGTGAGTGAGTGAGTGAGTGAGTGAGTGAGTGAGTGAGTGAGTGAGTGAGTGAGTGAGTGAGTGAGTGAGTGAGTGAGTGAGTGAGTGAGTGAGTGAGTGAGTGAGTGAGTGAGTGAGTGAGTGAGTGAGAATGGGCAGCCAATGCAGGGCAGCCAGAGCGGGGGAAATATGCTGATATTTTCTCACCCCTGTCTGGCCGCCGCATTCTGCACCATTTGAATCTTCCGCATCAATCTCAAAGGTAGCCCCACACAGAGCGCTTTACAGTAGTCTAATCTCAAGATTACAAGCGCATGGACCAGAATGGTGAGTGCCCCAACATCAAAATAAGGATGCAGCTGGGCAATCTGCCAGAAATGGAAATAGGCGGAATGGACCACTGACACTACCTGGGTTTCCATGGTGAGCGCCGGATCCAGATGGACCTCCAAACTGCAAACCTCATTCTACACGGTGAGAGTCACTCCCCCCAAAGACAGGGAGTTTCCCAAACCACGGATGGTGGGGCCACCCACCCTCAGGACCTCCATCTTGTCCAGGCTCAGCCTCAGTCCATTCTCCTGCATCCATTGCAGTACAGTCTCCAGGCAGCACTGGAGGGATGGAACGGCATCTACTGTGGTTGGAGAAAAGGAGATGTAGTGCTGGGTGTCATCAGCATACTGATGGCACAACATCTCACACACCCCCATGACCCCACCGAGCGGCCTCATGTAGATATTAAACAGCATTGGCGAGATAATTGAGCCCTGCAGAACGCCACAATTGAGGCTCCACGGGGCCAAAACTCTCTCCCCAAGCTGTACTCTCTGAGGATGGTCCTCCAAGAAGGATCAGAGCCAGGCAAGTGCCAAACCACTGATTCCAAGCTCAGAGAGCTTCCCCAGGAGGATACTGTGGTCGACGGTATGGTAGGCGGCTAAGATATCGAGGAGGACCAACGAAGACATTTTGCCCCGTCAGCCTCTCTCAGCAGGTCATCAAATAGGGCGACCAATGCCATTTCGACTTGATAGCACGTAGCAACAAATTGTCTACCTATAGCTGAAATCCAGTAATTCAGGATGCAGTACATTCTACTGAACATAATAGAACTTTACTTCTGAGAAAGCATTATTAGATGAGTCTATGAAAGTTTATTCTGGAGTATCCTGTTGAAAGTAGCCTATAAAGCAGTTTTTTTTCTAATCCTCAATTCCAAATACATACTATAACACAGTGGTTCTTAACCTTTATTACTCAGATGTTTTTGAACTGCAACTCCCAGTTTTTTTTTCTAATCCTCAATTGCAAATACATACTATAACACATAATATCGTTGCCATCCCTTTATTAACATGGTACCTGTCTCGTACAAAAAAGCGTTCTTCCACCAAACTATCATCGTCACTTTCAAATCTCTCTTTAAAACTCATGCTTCCAGCAATCTGCAATCCACCATTATTAATACAGTATCATAGTATAGCTGACAATAATAGGTGATGTTTGGCCAGTCATTTTTCATCCTATTTCATGGGATCACAACCCAGTTTTCACAAAGTCATGAAATGTGTGGAGCGTATAGACAACAGAATGATGAGAACATTGTGTTCCTATGGACAGAGAATGCTCTGCATGTAGGAGAGAATTTTCTTTGGTTCATGGTTCCCTTTAAGAGAACTTACCAAAAAACAACAACCAGAGAGAAAAAGACAATTTGAAATTCAAACCCTTTGTATGAGAAAGTGAAACCCTTTGATATACCTATTAGGGAAGGACACTTTCAATACTTGCCTCTTAACATTCTGGCTTTGAGTCCCTGCATGTTCAGACATATTTATTGTGCTGCCTTAGGGTTGCCATCATCTTTGCTCCAACACGTTTCTCATCTTTAATAGCTACAAGTTCGGCAGGGATAATACAGTCCTCTCAGTGCTGTGAATAGCTAGACTCATTGAACTGTGCCAGCGTGGATGGGTGAAAACTTTCTTCAGTTAATTCTTT